GATGCTAACTTCAGAACTTACAGGGTGTCTGGACTCTGTTAGCTCGATGCTAATCTCCGTACTTACAGGGTGCTCTGGACTCCGTTGGTGTTCGCCTGGCTCAGGACCTGCGTCAACGCTTTCGGTCGCAACATCGTTGTCTTTTTCCCCAATATACAAAAAAATACGGAAAAAAATACTCGTAATATTTCACAACAGACCTTTAAAATGAAGTCAAGTACCACAAAATGCAGAAACCAGTCAGTCAGCTGACTTTGTTGCTATTTTATGTTTTCGGTTTTCTGAGCATTGCACTATGGGAATTGTAGTCATAACAAACAAAAAAAAGTTTTATCCGGATTATTTGTTTCTTTTTCTAAACACACTTAACATTTTTTCATCAGACTTAATTGGTTACATTTTCACGAAAGTATTTTGTTTAACATATGCAATGATTTCGTTATTTGTTTTATGCAACAATCGTTTTAATGTTTGAAACTCTTCCTTTGACCAGTGACTTGTCCACACACACAACACTGGCACGATGCTTATGAATGAGTACTTGAATACATAAAAATCTGCAAATAAAAATAAAATATAAAACAACAAGAATACAGATCAAATATGTAGTCTCTTTTGTGAGACATTTCGTATATTATTATAGCACAAGTTGGCAATGAAGCCCAAAGATTTTGGGAAAAATATTAAAACAGACTGATGAAATAATTTATTTACTTTAACTGGCTTTTAATTGCAATAATACCTTTGGCTTTTAATATAGAATATCTTGATAGATACATTTAGGATCAATAGCCTGCAGTTGTAAAAATATAATGATTTGATTTTAATTATCAAATTTTTACAATAATATTATTTTTATTATATAGTGTTTTTTGATAATGAGTGAGTTTGTGTTCACAAAATAAAAATAAATTGAACTTTTTGTTTAAATTGATATACAGTTTTATAAATTTGTGTTTCTAATAATGAGCAAATTGAGTTTAGTCTCACAAAATTAACATTTGAGTCATAATTTCAGAGCAAAAGATGCTGTAAAAGCATGTAGACAAATCTGACCTTATTATTTCTAGTTTAGATTTCCATGATAATTATATAAAATCCATTTTTAACGCACAGCTGGTTTTGTTTGTCCAGTTTCTCTCTGAAATGAATACAGTACGTGGAAACAGGTAGGGTGGAAACAGCACCACCGTGTGGCCAAATGTGTCACAACATAGAAAGGAACAAATCAAAAATAAAATAAAACCTGGTTGAATTTGAACTTTTTTTTAAATTATTTGAGAAACAAACAAAAAAAGCCAAATATATTTACAAGAAGAAAATTATTTCTTATTTTGTTTTCTTATTTGATGTTCTTTTGATGTTTTCTTATTTTTGAGTTTACATGCCTAAAACCAAAAGCCAAGGCAGAATTTCACGAGTTTTGCTGTGTTCTGGTTCAGCTATGGGACAAATATGGCAATTGGGGGGAGAGGGGGGGGGGACAGGGGGTTTACATCATCACCCTCTGGTTTGTTTAATTTCAATACTCAAACTTTTGAAGCTTGTCCTTTCCTCAGTTCATATCTATAAAATATTCAGAGGCAGACGGTGCATCTCACAGCTTCAGTAGTGTCCTCCTTGAATAAATTCACCTCTTCATGCCATAATATGATGCCACAGCTATAGAAACCATTTTCAATTGCATCTTAACAGAGCATTGCAGACGTTATTATACAGCCTTTAATGCTATAGTTCAACTATTATCAAAAATAAAGCAAGAAGTCGAATTACAAACACTTAAATCAACAATTAAATGTATTTTTCCTTCACCGTCATCTGCACCACAGACATCACGTAGCTTCGACACGTTGTGTTTTATTTTTTGATGGTCGTTTGCGTTATGATTATGCTTTTTGTTTTTTATAGTTTGTTTGTTTCTGGTGTTTGTATCTGATCCGTCTGGTCTTCAGTTGTTCAGGCAGGACACTGGAGGTCAAAATGCAAGGCCCACCACTGGTAGAACGTCATAAACAGGAAAACGTGACTCTCTGGACAAACCAGTTAATTTTTTTTATCCCCCCTGTGTAAGACCTAAATGTCATTATGGTATTTTTGACTTCAATATAAATATGAAGGTTTTTTTTCATTTTAACCTGTGATATAATTGAAGTGCAAACAAATTGAAAAGTTTCCTTTTTCTTTAAATATGACTCGTTTTATTGGTTCTGAAAACTGCTGTTGTCAGATGACCCACTTCTGTTTCCGCCTCTGTCATCGTGTTTTATTCAGCTTGTTAACTTTACGGTTCCCCGAGAGTCCAGCCACATTTTCTTATAGCATCTTGGCGGGAGGAGGTTCTTCTGGGGTCAGGTTGGAGGTATTTACCTCACTCCGCTCAGACGTTATATTTTCTACCTGCGTTCATCCACCTGCCTGCTCTTCATCACTCGATTCTTCTGGTTCCAGCTCCTGAAAGGGGTAAGTTTATTTATCTGGTTCTGTTCTGTTAAATAAAACATGTTCTTTGTGCAGCTAAAATCTGGAGACGCATCTAATTTGTTACATTTTGTTTGAAGGAGCCAGACTTTTCATAAAATCTTAGCTTAATGGAAATTTTTAAGGACTTTCAAGTAATTATTTTTTGGAAGTTTAAGATTTTAGGGGTGCTATGTTAAGATCTTTTTTTTTTTTTTTTGCTCACTTTCAATTTGTCAACTAAGAAGTGAAAAGGCACATTTAGGGACAGGGATGACCTTTATCTGATCCAGGAACTAAAACGGTGTTGTTGTTTTGTCAGCAGCAGAATGCCTGCGAACGAGCTCCCCGTGCTCTCTACGATCTCTGACCCTAATCCGCCTCCTCCGTACCAGATCACCAGTACTGTCTGCCACAGCCTGAAGCCCCACTTGGTGCCCGGGCTGGACAGGACAGCCCTAAACAATAAAGTGTTTAATACTGGGGTGAGCTTTGCTCCTTTGGATTTTATTTTAAATAAAATGTTTCACTTTTCTGACTCGTTTCTGATCAACTTGACCTTTTGTTTCTGTCTGGACTGAGAGCACAACACGTCCGAGCTCTGTCCTCGCCTGAGGCTTCATCCTGTAACACCGTGAAATAAGCAAATGTTTTGTTCTGCCTTTTCTTTCACAGCTGAGGCAGATCCTGTTCGGATTCATCCAATTTCTTCTCGGCTTAATACTCAGTTTGAGTCTAAATCTTTGGCCCGATGCGCAGATCGATTTTCCATACTGGTCAGGAGGACTGGTGGTGAGTAATCTGGGTGTATATACTTTTATTGAGCTAAGGTTTTCTGTTTTTTTGTATCAAGTACAAAGTCCCACAAAGCTTTTTCTCCAACATCACACCTGCAAAGTGACCACAGCTTTATTGCTCCAGTGATTACGTTTTATAAAGCAGAGTTTTACAGGACAGCATCACACGGAGCTCGTGATTTCCACCCACTCACCAGTTGATGACCAGTCTCACGTTTTCTGCTTTCCACCAGGACTTTCAAAGTGGCGGATTCAAATAGTTTGTGCTCGGCTTGTTTTTTAAAAACTTTGTTCTATCTCTGAAGCTGTTGAGAAGATGCAAAAGTCTAATGCAAAAAAAAACCCAAACAAAAACAAACAAACAAACATAAAAACCCAACGCATAAAAAAGCTCAAGCTAACGTAAAAGAACCCAAGTGCTCAGTGAGGAAATTGTTGAGAAGCAAAGCATTCTGGAGGTTTTCCCACTCCAATCAGAATCAACTGGTTTCTTTTAAAAGTTTTTAATGACATCCTTTTAGCTACTGAGTCCGGTGACTGTGTCATCCTTGACTGCTTTTGACTGTGGACAATCACATTCTGCTAATGTGGCCGAAATCCGTCCAGAGGACTTGACTTAACTTTGTTAAATTTTTCTACCTGGATTATTGAGCATCAGGATATTCTGGTAATTTGTTTGAATCAGCAGGTGGGAATACGGAGAATTGCTCTGGAATGACAGAACAGTGACTTCTTGTAAGTTTTTGTTGTTGTTGTTTGTTCTTCTCCTCTTTCTTGTGGAGTCCCACAAGGCTCAGTTTTAGGCCCTCTTTTGTCCTCTATCTGTTCACACTTGGATCCATAAAAAACACAATATTCATTCCATTGTTATGCAGATGACAGATTTATGCCCCTCTTGAAAAGTCATATACTCTGTCAGTCCATTTCTTAGGTGTCTTGATGACGTAAAGGTAAATGGACTGTACTTATATAATAATAATACTTTATTTATAAATCCCTTTAAAACAACCACAGCTGCCACAAAGTGCTGTACATATAAAATCAAGAACATTTAAACACATAAAACAGTTGTTAAAACATTAAGATCAATAAAAATAATAAAAACAGTGCAGAGCAATTTCAGTGTGTGCTAAAAGCCAGGGAGTAAAAATGTGTTTTTAAAAGAGTTTTAAAACTGGACAGTGAAGGAGCTCGTCTGATGGGAAGAGGGAGATCGTTCCACAGTCTTGGAGCAGCAACAGAAAAAGCTCTGTCCCCTCTGAGCCTCCGTTTAGACCTCGGCACCTCCAGGAGCAGCTGATCAGCTGATCTGAGGCACCGAGCAGGAGAGTATGGGTGAAGCAGCTCAGAGAGGTAGGATGGAGCAAGACTATTTAAACTTTTAAAAACAAATAAAAGAATCTTAAAATGAACTCTAAAATGAACAGGCAGCCTGTGGAGTGAAGCCAGAGTGGGGGTGATGTGCTCCCTCTTTTGAACTCCAGTTAGAAGCCGAGCAGCAGCGTTCTGGACCAACTGGAGGCGTCTGAGGGAGGACTGGCTGACTCCAAGTTAAAGAGCATTACAGTAATCCAGCCGAGAGGTGACAAAGGCATGGATTACTGTTTCCAGCTGCTGTTTTGTAAGAATGGACTTTACCTTAGCCAGCTGTCTGAGGTGATAAAAACTGGTCTTGACCACCGCTCCAATCTGGAAATCTAATTTAAAATCACTGTCCTTTTTAAAACCCAAGTTAGAAATAGTTTTCTTTACATGTGGTGCCAGAGGGCCCAGATCCACAGGGCAAGGTTCACAAGAGCCACTAGGACCAAACACCATCACTTCCGTTTTCTTTTCATTGAAATTTAAGAAGTTTAAAGACATCCAGGCTTTGATGTCTTCAAGACACAACAGAAGTGGCCTAATTGAGGGGGCATCTTTCTTTTTAAGTGGCATATAGATCTGACTGTCGTCAGCGTAACAATGAAAAAAGATCCCATGCTTTCTAAGGAT